GGTGATCTGAATACGAGGGTTAGCTGGATAACACCGGTGGTCTAGGTCGTCCAGGTAAAGTTGACTTTTGTGTTTACAGAAAATGAAAACTTACATAAACATAATATCTTGATTGGCATACATTAAAAAATGCATGAAATTTCTAATTGGCAAAAACTTAATAACACATGTGACGTTAGAAAAAAAAATTGCAGGGTTAAAAAAATATCTGTTGGCCGCTTGTAAATAATTTTCTGATTCAAAAAAAAAATTGGGAGAATGTGCAAATTTTCTTATTCTTCCTTTTTCTCTTATTTTTCTTCTAGTTTTTTCGTCTTCCATCTTTTTATTCTCCACCGTTCTTCTCCTCGCCTTTTTTATCCTATATTACAGAGTATCAGCCCTTTATTTTCGTATATACGTTTCCACGATTTTTTTTCCCAGATGCGTCCTTTCTTTGGACGTGTACAATGACGAAGATGGACGTCAGGGCGCACCAGTCCACGGTACCGTTCTCCTGTTCACCGAGCCGCTTCTGCCTCCCCGTCAACGTCGACGGAGGTGCGAAGCGGAAGTGTACGCGCGGACACCTTCCGGAAGTCTTTCTGCCACTCTTGGATCGAGAGGAAAGAGACCTCTCTCATTATTATTATTACATGCCAAGCAGAGACCGTCGCCATTGTGCATCGCGCGAAGAAAAGAATAGGAAGCCGGGGGTGCGTGAAGTGGTAAACGGGGCTGGCAACACTGTAGCATAGTTATGTATATATATAAAGTACAAGTATATGCGACGGCCTATGCATTTATTTAGACACTTATAAAAATGTTTCGTAGGTTATGACATACTTTAATATTCAAACTAAGAGTAACCATCCTCAGAGTCTACTGGTACCGTTACATGTTGAGTTTTCCATATTACTTATTCATATATTAATACTATCGCATTTATTGTATAAACTCTACTTGTTAATTTAACGGTAATTTATTATCTATCACGTTAATTTACTTCTAAGGGTGAAACAGTCTTGGGGTAACTAAGTGGACTTGGAGGGTCGTATAAGATCTTGATCGCTTGAGATACTTCCTGAAATTGAGCTGTCTGCAATTTCAGTATCTTTATGTAGGATGGACTGTTTTCAGTTTATATAATGAAGATATAATCGGTCCTACGACTATGCGGTATTTATGTAATTTGAATTTAATCCTAGAACGTAGAATTATATATTGTAGAAATAGAAGAAAAAATGTAGATATCTCAAAAGCGTATTGCAATATGATTTATTTTCACTGATTCAGAAGCTGATCTTGTCACTTGTTATTTTAATTAATTAATTATCGAAATTTCAGTCGTTTCATACGTGTACAGTAATTCCGTATATACTTATAAATACTATATCTGTATATGTCTTTACTGTGGTTCTATGTAGCACGCCGACACAAGTTAGATCATATCATAGAGTTAGTGGGCGGGACGTATGTACGTGCTCGCTATCGAAAGGCAGTAGGGGATGGTAATGTGACTAAATGAATCCACTAACGGGGTTGGCTTGGCAGTAATGGAAGGGGTAATTAAAACCACCCTTTCGCGGAAGCGGAGTGAAGAAGGTAATTCAGGGCCGCAGATAACTCAAGAATTGGATAATGGCGAAATAGAGTATAACCTTGAATTCTTTGGCATCTGAAACAAAAGAAAAATCAAAATTACAGCCGGTACGTATAGTAACTATGATCGATATCTTTTTGGAAAATAAAAATAGTCAAAATTATTCACGAAAAAAATACTTTCGTTTTCACGGAATGGAATTTATAGAAAATTTTGAAATTATTTGTATGCTTGTTCATTCATTTGTATATGACGTCGCGAAGACGCAACGAGAAAACGTCGTTAAGTAAAATTGCAAAATAAATTTTAACTAGAAATGGCGTCCCTGCGACTCTCGATTCAGTCGCTGGGGGATTTGTGGCAACGGTGCTTTATAAATGGAACTAATTACAAAGATCCGCAACACCGTTGCACGTCTATCTAATTTAACATTCTTCCGTGAGAGCGTGCACGACTGGTTATATAATTTCCAAGCTTTTTCTACAATTAGGTAAATTCATGTTTTTTTCTCAACTATATACCTTTTCACATTTCAATCGTGAGCTAACGAGTCCACTCGGCATTAACTTACCCCACGTATGAGAAACATGCAGTAGAAAAGTATCCTAGATGTTAATATTAATCTCCGGGAAATAGCAGTAGGCGTGGGGAATCAAGAGTTAAATCAAAGCGTCATTAGGTAAATGAGGTTAGGTAATTAGCAATTACACAAAGTCGCCCATTTGAAACATAATACCTCTATAAATAAATTCTTTGCTTCCTAATCAGTAAAACGATAAGCCAAAAACTATTGGGTTCCTTAATTAAAAAGAATTCTGAAACTAATTGTATGATTAGGTTAATAACTTACGTGTAAATCGTATCCGATCAAAATGAATCGCTTGAAACATTCTTCTGCGATTAGGATTTCCTTGAGCTGACTGTCTAATAAGATAGGACCAAAAATTGAGTGACTGCGAGAAGAAGTCCATTAGGTATATATTCCCATCCTGAACAGCATCCCGAAGGATTCGTAAACTGAAAGGCCAAAGGGATAGCCAATAGCGGTTTTGCGGAGTTCTGCTCAGCAGTAAGTATACTGTGGTAGGTATAGGGAGATCCCAGCCATAGAAAACGCGCTGGAGCATCTTAGCCGAGGTAACTTCTCGTGCACCCTTTGCTCGTCGTAGATTGGATGTGTTTAATTACTAGTAAAATATCGTTAATTAGTCGGCCGGCCTCAATATACATTAAATAGTCCACACCGCAGCGAATAAAAGGCCCGTGAGTCTAGCGTCTCGCGAAAATAAATCCCTAGGATCTAAACTGACAGTCGGGTACCCCAATCCAATAATAATTTGGTAACTAGATAAGTTACCAGAAATTACTATACTAACGCAGCGCGAAAAATTTGAAATCAACGACCTCGGTAGGTATGTCGCCATGAAAATTTCTAATTAAACTGCCTGATAGTACTAAAATACTTCGATTCAGATTCGACCTGGTCTCTCTGGTCGCAGCTGCGTTCACGCTAATGAATCCGTTTTACTCATCCTGGGATTTGTCGCATCCCGAACAGGACGTCGACGTTCGTATTCGAAAGCATCCCTTCCCAACCACCAGTAACCCATCGGAACCCTTCGTGTTCCGTTTCGTAATGAATCCAGTTTGCCTGTTCCTCTCGTCATCTCTCTGTCTCGGACGAATCCCCCGTTCCCTAACCTCCTCTAACCTCACTTCAACCAGCAGTCAATCTCTGGCTCTATCTCTGTTTTCCTATATCTCTCCTAGTACTTTGTCTCTTTTCATGCTACTGCCTCTCTCTTTTTATCTACCTATATATTTATCTGGCTACCTAACCGACGTCCAGCACCGCTCCTGACTCCATTCGTGAACCCAGTAAACCACTGTGCTTTTCGGCGCCATCCCTTCGCATCCCCTTCACCACTCCCTGCCACGTTCATCCCTTCTACTTTCCACCCTTACACACCCTCACTCCTCCCTTCACCAGTCCATCACATCGGCAACGCTACTTCTCGTCCCCCACCCTCGGCCTTCCGGATTCTAATTAATCAGCTAGCCACCGCGTGCGAATCGTACCGTCCAGCTAGTACAGACCCCTGTAGCTAAACTGGCCGAAGCGATGTTCGATATGCGTTCATACTACAAGGGTTGTCCTTGTCAGACGCTGTAATTGGACAGTTCGGTATCAGCTCCGTATCTCCATCCTAAAAGGTATTTTATTATGATAATTATTGAAAAAAGTAAAAGTTGTCATTCCACATTATTATACCCTTTGACGCTTACAGTTGTTATATTTCTTTTACCTTGAAAGTCGATAGTCGATATTTATTCTTTGACTCGCATGACGGTTGAGATTGACGGGATTTTTAGATTTGATGAAAAAAATTTGTTCATTACCAAACAAGGGTCTGTTCGTGATTTATTTTTTTCCCAAGGTTCCGCTGAACTTGCGATTACGTACGTGAACGATCACGTGGAACAACGTGAGTTTTGTACGCGTTCATTATCGCGGAAAGGGGAATCGAGTCGATAAGTCAAATCGAAATCGCAGGGCGACCATGAATGAGGATATTCATAGACTAGACTTGCGGCACGTGCGTTCAACCCCCAAATCAACCCTGTAAGGGTACCATGCAACACGCACGGTACCCCATAATATGGATGACCGTAAAGAATAGGGTGACGGAACAGAAGCCCCACATCATTCAATAACGATAACTTGTTGATTGGTTTATTTAACGAGGGAATTATTGTCATGACTCCTGCCACATCGAATCGTCAGGGTATTAAGTCTGAGTATATTAAATACTGATAACAAAACAACCCTTACAATGATACGTAGGATCAATTTGATTCTGATCAATCAATATTGAATATCAAGATTCATATTGATGGTACAAAATTCTAATTACATTTTAAACTGTCATACGTGACGTTCTCACAAAAGAAAATTATAAATTATAAGTATATCATTGATTAAGGGTTAGTCAGTAGAAACTCACCAGCAGAAGTTGGCCGTAAGTGGCCGACACGGCAGTGTGGCCTCTTCAAAAAATGATATGTGACTGTGACCGATTCCCATAAGCGCAAACTGACAGGTCGCTTATTGAAATATTTCAATAATTAGATTACTGAAATAAATAATTAATTTTGTAACGAAAAAATGAAATATCAGTTAAGATTTATCTTCACAACAGATTGCAATTAAAATAATGTAAAGTTTAAAATATTCACAATTTTCATATTTCCAAGTAATGACCACAACTGCAATTCTGCAATACAATACTGCAACTAATTTAAAAATCAATTAATTGAAATGCTTTTATAGGAAAAAAGTGCAGGAAAAAAATCTGTTTTGAAAATAAATCTTAACTGACATTACATTTTGTCATTAAAATATTAATTAATTATTTGAGTAACCTAACTATTGCAATATTTCAAAAACCTTATTGCTATGCGAACTGTCAGTTTGCGCTTATGGGAATAGGTCACAGTCACATATCACTTTTTGAATAGGCCACACTGCCGTGTCGGCCACTTGCGGCCAACTTCTGCTGGCGCCTTTCTACTGACTAACCCTGTATATTAAGCACTGTCATGATTGACAATGCTACTGTGTCTGTCATTGCACAAAATTGCCTGTTGACAACATCATTGTTGTACTCAACTAATAGTTGACATTCTCAACAATGATTCGCCCTGTCTCACGCCAAAACATGTGCACCCTATGAGATTAGTTTTCATAGAAGGTGATTTCGATGGGGTTGTTCACTACTACACACCCTGATTGTTCTCCAGGGGTCTGAACCCCATGGGGACAACTCTATTACATGGTGTTTACTCTCGAGTGCGTATGCTCGAGGATGTTTTACAATCAGTCATATTATAAAACTGTTAACAATATCTGATTGACATACTACATAGTATCACTATGCTAGTTACAAATTGTAAAAATTATATACGCTATCTTAAGACGGTTATGACGAATCGAAGATACAAGAATTCTAATTGACTCTAAATAAGACGCGTCGAAGAAAGCAACAATCATTGAAATGAATTTGGTTATCGAACCGTGAGCGCTAGGCGTATATTAAAACAACGTAGAGTCATTCAAAGGCACGCTTCGGAATCAGTGGCCCAAGTCGAATCATTATTTCCATCTCAATTAATATTTTAATCAAGCTTCTATACTCTACAGCGTTGTTCCATTTACGGATTCATGAACATTCATCCCCTCAACAACAACCAACACCACCGCCATCACAGAACCGTCAGATCGACTTTACTAATACTAATGTAAATGCCAATAGGAATCTTGTGACGCTTTTCTGGACCCTTTAAATATGTTCTGTCAATTGTTAATTCCATAGTAGAGATATAGAGACACATTGCAAAGTCTATTAGCAAAGACAAAAATTTGAATTCATGAAAAAAAAATCTAAAACTGCTTTTTTGTACAGTGTATTAAAATATTTTGAGTATAGATATGTACTGATACTTTGTAGTTGGCTAGCTGATAGATTTTCGTCTCTCAAGTAGTTTAATAAGTGATCTTCCTGGAGATGATTTTTAAGATGTGAACTCGATCCTGGTCTTTCCCAATGAGACAATCAATTCATGATTAGCCGCGTAAGCAGGATGACGATGGCGATATGAACGGCTACCGTGGAAACAATGGTGCATTGTAGCGAGTGCTGTCCGGTCGAATACTCCAATACGCCAAGCAACTGAAAAACGAAGGAAAGAGAGAGAGACAGAGTGAGATGAGGGTAACATGGGACACGAAAGAGAGCGAGTAGTGAGTAAGAGAGCTGGAGTAGAAGAGATAGAGAAAGAAAAAAAAAGTGAAAACCCGAAACTCGGAGAACAGTATTCATTCGTGGGTGGTACTGAGGCCCTGGAGAGTCCGCGCCGTTTGCCTGTTGGAAAACTCGAGAAAATAGCGGATGAGTGAAAATGATATGCCGGACAATGGGCATTGTTTGCCGGCAGCCAAGTATGATTTCCTAGAGCAATGAACGTCTAGAGTACTTACCTATCTATGCACCGAGACAGGCCACATCGTGGATTAGAAGAAGCCGTCGGCCCGAATTCACGTTCCTGACTACCCACGTAATGCCTACGATACATTCTTACGTTCCGATTGGTAAGTAACGATAGGTTATGTCGAACCAGATGGAATTCGCCAACTCGAACAAGATAGACTGACAGTTTCTCTCTGATAAATTAAATAACGATCTTTATTCGTGCAATTGTTCATGAAAATATACTCAAATATACAACTCACTCTTATGAATTTCAGTCTCTTTATTCGTGGTGTTTTCGACAAGTTACAGACAGAGCGACAGAAACAAAATCCGTCAGTAGATACTGGATATATCTAATACCAGAGACCATATATTATATAATATATATTCTCTGCTAATACTGATCAAACTTCCGAGGAATGCCTTGGCCTACAGGTTAGGCTTCATTTTCAAGATGGGCGTTCTCTCGCGTCAGTGTGTTCAGAAAAACCGAGAACAATACCGCCCGAAACATGTTGGATATCGCTACTCACTGTGTGTTCCAGATACCCCGACAATTCGCTAAACAATTGAATGCTCAGCTCCCGCGCCATATGCTTTCACGTGAATCCATAATGAGCCACGCAACTACCCTACTATCCGTCCTGGGTATATTGTGTTCTGGCGTATTAGTTGTCTGCGTTTGGTTAACCTGCCACAGTGAATTCGAAAGAATCTCTCCCGTCTGGGAGGCACTGCGCGAGATTTACGACATCTACAAGTTACAATGATTCTGGTGATACTTTCCGATGATCAGCATAAGATTCACTTCAATTAGAGACCCATTGTGAGATATATATTAGTTGCAAATTATAGCTTATGTCTGTTGTATATCTGCTGTATAGAAAATTGGTGTGTTTTCATTTAAGAACGCCGCTGGTATATGGATTGGTGAACGCATTGAAGCCCTTGGGACATGGCAAAGACTTTGGTTATAATATATATGTATACTTTATATGCATTATATATATATATGTGTATATAGGATCGCATAGTGAATATCAGAATGGCGGCTAATAATAATTTTGACATACGCGAAGATATATTCTGATACGTGCATATAATAAGCCTGAGGCTGCGTTCACATCAGAGAGACAGCGATACGAGTGAGTAGCTATATTATACAAACGGAATACCTACCCCAACCTACCCCAACCCAGTCTAACCGCCCATTGGCATCAAACCAACCACCCACCCCCATCTCTTATTGCGTGACTGTATCCTTCAGTTATTCCTACTATGTACCGGGTGACTTCAGTATATTGATGATTAGCACCGCTTAATAACAAATAAAAGTACTTGTCAATAATAATAGACAATCATGTATAAAGGTTTGTACCAATGAGTAGTAAGAAATTGTCAATAAGTGTTTTAATTATATTTTCCTTGCATCAAAATTCAATTAGGGACATATGAGTATGAAGTATGCGTGTATAAGTATGTTTTGATAATTCTTGAGCCTCCCCTTGTCAACTGAAAGGATGATTGTGCAGAGTAAGAAAGTTTTTAATGATTGTTTCAGCCTTTGCCCTTATCAGGGAGTCACCCGTTAACCCGACTAGAGACGGATAGTGCTGATATGACAATGAATTGATATGTTCCTTTTGGAGGCGCCATCCCCTCAACCAGCGCACCGAAAGCTCCCTTCAGTCTTCAGTTTGCGCACCCTTGCAACCCGCTACGAAGTTCGCTATAGATCGACAATGGAGAGCGGCGCACATCTGTAGGTACTGGGAAACAATGAACTGAGAGCTGTATGCGATTGTGGACCAGCAGATAGCATTGTATAATATACTCTGTTGTTCGACTCCTCCTCCGCCAGCCTCCTTCCTGGATGGCATCCCCGTTAGCGCTGCGCACCAGGAGTCGCTCGATGTCGTGCAATATGGATCTCGCTTTGTTGAAATTAGCTGCGATGGTAATGGATGAGATCGCGGCTCTCTTCTGCCAAGCTCAAGGTAGTCATCCTCTCTAATTGCCAACGCTAATCTCTAAGACTTGTCTATATCCTGGACAATGTCCTCCCTGTTGATTATTTGGCCAAGATATTTTTGGTACCGCTGTACCTGTGCTTAATTATTATTCATTGTTGTTCATCGTTGCTGAGTCAAAATTGAAGAAACTTTTTTTCACCCTGGAACCTTGTATAGGTCTGTATACTGAATTTTGCTTAAGAAACTTATGTGATTATGTGAAGCTTCGACTGAGTGTAGTTTTATGTCAATTTTGATATTGATACCTTTTTTTTCAGAATATTTGCAAACTTTTATTGTGAAATAATAGTTACCCGGAATGGCGCTGCGCTGATGTTGGGAAAAATATGTATGTAGTAGGAATCGACTTTGCCCACACTCTTGTCAGATATAGACGAGGAAGCTTTGAAGCTTTCCGCAAGCTGTCGACAAAGGCACGGAATAATAAGCTAATCGTAGGTACCTGCAGTTCGTGAGGCACGACAGAGGATGGAGAACAGAGGGAGGATTGGTTGTGCACCCCCTTGAGAGAGAAAAACAACCTTCCTCACCGTTATCCATCCCTTGGCGTACCCTCAACCCTTTCTATTTTCCTTTTTTTTTTTTAATAACTTTGTCTTACGTTTGTCTGTTTTCAGCAACTCCTCTACATTTCCTTGTCGACCAATAGAAACCATTGGTATCCGGATTAAAAATTGCGAGAAGACACAGTGACGTCACTGATGATTCATTCGGTTGAAAATTAAAAAAAAAACGCATATTTTTACTACAATATTATTTTCTCTTAGATCAGAACATGCTTTTGACTATTCTTCAACTTAAGGAAAATTTACATAGTCGATCAGCTTCAATGAAAAGAGTGTTACTTGGAAGACAGAAATAATAAACAAATCAGGATAAGGAAGTCAGCAACGTACAGAATACAATATTATATACTTTTCTTAGCTGTACGAGAAGCACATACATACCAAGAAAAAGAGAAACCGATAAAGAGAAAGTAAGAGCGTGTCGTCGTCTTTAACAAGAGGAAGAAGAGAGAAAAAAATCAAATAACAATAACGCCTCAATCTATTAAGTGATTCGACAAGCCACCCTCGCAATCCACAAAACGCCAAGAAAAACTCGAATAATAATACGAACTCAGGTGCCTCCAGGTTCTCATCTATTCGTGTTTATTGTTCTCGTGCGAAACATTAAGATTCTCGAAAGACAGTAGAAAAAGTAGCAAAGAGAATTCTTTCGAAAAATAAATATTCTAAAAGAACAATCTTTGCACTCGATACAAGACTACCATTATTGCACATACTGTATACGTAACGGTATAAAGTAAAAAAAAAACAATTGAGCGTGATAAATTTATTAGTCAATAAAAAAGTTTACAAAATTAATAAATTTTTAGCAATAGCCAGTTCGATCGCTCCATATACTGTATACGTAACGGCATAAAGTAAAAAAAATGATCCAGGGTAATGAATTAATTAGTCAATTAACAAATTGACAAAATTAATAAATTTTTAGCAATAGTCTGTTCGTTCGTAGCATAAGCTCAATGCATTCTTCAAGGTTTTCATTTCTTTGGATAAGAGAATTCTTTTAAGAAACCAATTAATTCTACAAGAAAAATCTTTTCACCTGATACAGGACTAACATTATTTTATATACTGTATACGTAACGGTATAAAGTAAAAAACTGATCGGGGGTAATAAATGAATTAGTCAATAAATAAATTGAGAAAATAAATTTGCGGCAGTAGCCAGTTTCCTCCCAGTATAAGCTCAATGCATTCTTTAAGGTTCTCATGCAATTTTACAGGGAATATCTCATTTCGTAATGTGCGTTGCTCTGAAGGGGATGAGTGCGTAGTGTAATCATATGATGACCGTATTTGTATGGCTGGAGGCTGGGGGTAACTTTTTGTATAAAAACATATTTATCCGCATGCACGAAGCCCTCGCTCGTACAATAACGCTAGCCTGGAGAGATGGGCGAAGAGTGTTCATACTGTTAACTCCGAGTTCCCATCTGCAAGGGGAGACTGTAGAGGAACTGTACAAAGTGAACTCATAATGTAATCTCTTAATGGGGGCACCAAGCGTGGTGGATATAGTCCCGGCCATGGTATCTTCCTGAAACCCTTTCATTCCTACCGCTTCTACTCCACTAGGTTGCTCTGCCTGTATATATGGATCTCCCCCCAGTTACGCCTTTGCTGACACCGATTGATATCGCGATAAGAATATTGCTGGTTACCGGTTGTTCATTGTATTTTGACGTGTGTGGATGGCTTTATTATTTTTGATGGTACCGGTTTACTGCATTTTGATTAACGATTTTAAGAAAGTGCAGATGGAATTGCTTTTCTTATTGTAAGTCAGATTTTTTTGGAGAGTAAAAGGCAATTTCCTTTTTGTTCTTTTAAATTTTTTTTGGCTTTGATAATGTTTCTTGAATATTACAGGTGATGGCGCCACTTGACAGGATGTCGATTTAAATATCACCTTGCTGCCGACACTGGGTAAATATTTTGCTCCGATAAGGATGATTTATTCAATTTAGATACAATAGAAATGATTAACAATGCGTAGAAAAATGTATTTAATAAAAACGATATTTAATTAATTGATATAACAAAATATTAAAATTTCTTAGGTGTTAAGGCTACTGGCTTATGAATTATCACAAAGATCCTACGATTTTATTACGTATTGCCGAAGCTGGGGATAGCATGTAGAATATTACCATCATTGTTCGTCTTAATTAAGTGAATAATTATATTAAATATTGATTGATAACGTTCTCGATGAACCACACGTCAGTGAATTGTAAATGATTGGCATTCACTGAGAGAAAATGTATTTTACCATCTTTGTCCATCTCTCGGAGCCCGAGACGATCCTACGACAATGAAAATCGAATTAAATAAATATACATAATTAAATACATTCATTTATTGAACAAATATATTATACCTCGGTATATAACTTTGACTCCTGTAATGTTTCCAACTCAACAGCCTGTCCTGGTTTATAGAAACCAAACCATTCGGATTCTCGCGGTTGAACCATGGTGTCGTTTTCAAATTTCACGAGAACGAACGTTTTCAACTTTTTCAAATTGTCCTTATACGTCTAAAAATACGAATAGCTCTTATTTCTAGAGTTCAACAATAAAAAGTTTGCATGATAGTTGGACACGCTCGTGTTAACATAAAATGTATCCATTGTTTAGTTTATAATAGTGGGTAAAAAGATATATGTGTACTAATAGCGGTATGCAGTGGAGAAAATGAATATGAACAAGTTAACAAGAATCTCTACATAATTCATGTATAATTCAAATATGAACTATTAATGAAATCATACGTACATATCAATAAATTATAATTGATTACCTCATTGATAGTCAGTTCATTGTTAATGTCTGCCAGGAAAATACTGTACTTCTTGTACTCATTCTCCCGAAGGGGATCATGCCAGTATTCTGCCTGCACTAATCTCTCTTGAACAAACCTGTAAAGATATCATGCATAAACTTACGATTTCTAAATATTAATATTCGTAATAGAAAGCAATGTAATTACTTGTAGTATGCTCCATAATTGAGCATACGTCGTAGATAATCACATAGTACATGTTCCAGCGAACCGCAATTTGGTAAACCATAAACCCCTTGATGTTGTCCACCCAGAGATATCAGATTCAATATAGGAGGATTGGGACATCGTTGAGCAATGGCTCTCCTGTTAACACCAATATTGTCAATTATGATTATCACTGTTGACAATGTTATATTATGAGCAGTTTATCCAAGAATTTAAATATCATAATTACAAAAATTGTGATCCTTGTGAGAAGCCAATGGCATTATATCCATCTTGCAAATTCCTGTCCTCTGACAATTCTTGGCAAACTTGATCGATTTGCTTATTCACATTCATAAAATAGCTGTTCTCGACATCCTACCAATAAATACAATAATTACACAAATAAATATATGTTACATCAATTAACTAAGATTTATATTTTCAGATTTCACCAAACCTGTATCTCATCCTGTCCAATCATTATAGACTTGACGTATACCCCTGGAATCTGATCTTCCAGTATAATCTTGATCTGTCCAAGACTAAAAGAGAAGCAGCAACTATCACCTGGAGTAAAACCACTTTCCTCTTAAAAACAGGTTTACAAATAAGTTGCTTAAGAATTTTAATATCTCATTGTCAAGTTCAAAATAATGACACGTTTTACCAGCTGATTGCAGCTATGACGTTAATGAACTTTCAAAATGACATTCATGCAAACCAGCCAAGGTTATATTTTGAAACTCACTGCGAGTATTGTTGCGTCGTTAAATTGCACGTAGGTAAAGAAATAAACGACAGTACTCACAGCACTGGGAGTGAATATGAATATACCGTAGTACTGTAAGCTTATTCGAACTAAAATCATATTTTAATAACAATAAACTTACCCATTCCATGCCAGAGAACAATAGGCTTAGATGTGGGCTCAGGTGGTAAAGCCGAAACAGTTATTGTTCTTTGACAAGAGTTTATTAACAAAAATAAGGATATAATGATCCTTTCAAGCGAATGCATGATGATCATTGTTAATAGGATCAAATACTTTTAGACCAAATTATACTGAGCTACGGCTTGTAGTTTTTAGGAGTAATTGAAGGCGATAAAAATATAGCATCGACAGCCGTTCGCCATCTTGGCACAGTCGCGCCATGAACGGATTTTTACAGAAACTTAATTGAAACCACGGTCGTACATACAGGTCTTGCAACTCCCTTGGAGGGGGTAGTCTTCTTTTAGAAGCATTTTTCATTTCACTTCATGACCACAAGAGGCGTTGCGATCAAGCGATCCGTTGCTATTTCTCTCTCTCACAGCCGATTGTAAAGTGAGATAGATAAGGGGTCGCTCGATCACAGCGACGCTTGTGACTAAAATTAAAAATGAGCCGTGCTTCAAAACCACGTCTACCCCCACCGCTGAAAATTGGGCGAGTTGCAAGCATAGAGTTAATACAGAGCAGACAAGCCAGCTCTCAACGCGGCAGCGGCGAAGAGAGAGATAGATGCAAATCAGGGTGCAAAGACGGATAGCTAAAGGGGTTCAGCTATCTCTTTCTTTCTCATTATGAGCGAACGGACACTTCCACTTGCAGAGCAGCCTATGGCTTGTCTGCTCTATCTGTATTAACTCTATGGTTGCAAGACCTGTATGTAAGACCGTGATTGAAACTGACCTTACTCTTCCTTCCTTCCATTTCTTCATGGCTTTAACCCCAATGTGGGACATGTGCCAAATGTCCTTACCCTTGAACCCCTTGTATCAAAGATGAGTAGGAAGATTGCCAGGGTGCGCTCAGAAATCTTATCCGTTGGATCTCTTTTTATTATTCTTACTATGAAGAGGATAGAATGATACTAGAGTCGACTCTAAAAAGTTTTCAGAAAACAGAAAAAAATTATAAAAGTTAAAAATATCCAGCTAACTTCAAAGAGGTCTCTAAAACGTGTGCATTTTTGTGTCGTCGGCCCACCTGAACGGAAATTTATTAAAACTGTGAAATTGAGACAAAATCAAAATCTCGCGAAATATACGGAGTAGATAAAAACTGAATTGAAATTGTAGAAGGCCGAAAATAAATTACGCCCCAATTGAAATATTAATAAATTAAGTGTTTGGAATATTAAAGTAATTAATTAAATCAATAAAATTAGATATTAACACTTAAAAATCAGAAATCCTGACTAAAAATATTCAGAAGTACTGGAAGTTGCCCAAAAGTGTATGCGCGCAAATACGTCGCGCACAACTCGGTAAGTGGGAGCAAACCGAGAAGTGGGGGAAGCGCTTAAGGCAGTGCCCGAACCAAGCGCTTGAGAAAAGGAGGTGCGTGAAATATAAGCACTAGAACAAGATCATTTTGAAGAAGCAAGAAAAGAGAATAAGATAAAGAAGGGAGAAGAGGGAAGACGCAGAAAGGATAACCGAACGAAATGGGCCCCTCCCCGCCTATTTCCATAAGGTCTTACCTCTTCACAAGGGAGCTACGACCCCTCCGAGGTTCAACCAGAGATCGTGTTTTTCTTTAGATTGAGGAGAACCCCCGAATTCTGTAGCTATGGCGCACAGGATAGGGGGGAGGCCTCAGGACAGAAATGAAGTAGAGCTGAGTGGAAATCAAACGCGAAAGATCTACCCGAGGGACGATATTTGACGCTACAACGCTTTGAGCTTGCTAGGATTACAGCGTAGTAGACCCATCGGCCATAGGTCCCCACTCAACATGCCTCCAGCAGAGGATGACTTTAAACTAGCAGGTACTCAATAGCACCCACACTTACCCCAAGTGAAGCCGACCAAGAGCACAAGTCTCTACCCACATGAGTGCTCAAGGGTCAACGACATGTTGGAGCGTTTTTAGCAAAGCGAACAAATTATACTGAAGACGCGGAAGATAGATACTCTGATTAGATTCACTATATGAAAGAACATGGCTGTTGCATACCCTAAGGGGGCTCAAGACCTCCGTCGTAAGACCCATAAGGTCCTGTTGCGGCTACAACTTGGGTCCGACCCACTGAGCAAGCCCAGCGGATGAGGCGGATGGGCAACCCCTGACACCATGGTCTAAATGTGTAGTTACTCTAACAGGGTGACTACCCTTATATGACTACTCGAATGAAAATGCTCGAACCGAGAAAAAGAATAGAACAAGTTAAGCAAGCATAATTGAAAGTGAAAGGGAACGGAGTAAAACGAGAAGACAGACAGGAAGATAAAAATACAAAAGTAAGGAATAGACGTATAAAGATGGAGAAGAAATAAGGAAAAAAAAATAAATTAAAAAGTAAAGGATAAATAAATAAGAATAAATAAATATAGAAAAAGAAGGTTAAAAATGGATAAGAGGGGTGCTTCCAAAAGACCAGCATACGAAACTGGCTTGAGAAAGAATGAGCGTTCTGAATTCGGGCACTGCCTTAAGGGCCTCTCCCACTCTTCGGTTTGCCCCCACTGCCGAGTTGTACGAATTTGCGCGCGCACACTTTTGGGCAACTTCCAGTACTTCTGAATATTTTTGGCTAGGATTCCTGATCTTTAAGTGTTAATATCTAATTTCATTGATTTAATTAATTATTTTAATATCCAAACACTTAATTTATTAATATTTCAATTGGAGCATCATTTATTTTCTGTATTATACAATTTTAGTTGTTTTTATTTACTCCATATACTTCGCGAGATTTTGAGTTTTTCTTAATTTCATATTTTAAATAAATTTCGAAGTTAAGTCAAGAATCAGTAATGTTTAGTAACATTTGGAAAGCTGTATTCAATGTTGCGAATTTTCAATATTTCTGTGCAACTGATTTTTTTCTTCTTCTCACGGGTTATTCGCTATTTGTTTTCAATATGTCTGTGGTCGCAACGTGACCTGATTAAAGAAAAAAAATATATGCCGGTCATGAACCCGGTACTTCATGGCTGCGAAGACCCACGTGTCCGCACAGGTCAGTGCGTTTTCCATGTAAATACTCGTTTCCTACTTGTACTCATGTTCATCTTCCCGGTTTGTCACTCACGGGCTCTCAGGAAGAAGAAACGCTTGCTGATTTATGTATTTATTCTATGGACATAATGTAATAAAATGTACATAGTGAAATATAATCATGTATTTATTCAATCCTAAGGCAATAATAAAACCACTACGCATAGTGAGCGATTCAATATAAAAAAAAAAAGTAATGACCAATTCTCGAAACCGGAGCATCATGCACGTGTGCTGTTCAGTCACTATGGTAAAAAAAGTCGGGAAACATATTTCCGTTATTACCCACGTTGTCGACACCAAAATACGCACAAAGTGCCACCCGCTATACATTCATGCGTCTCACGGAGCTCACAAAATCATGAGTAATATTGCTATATATGTATACTCAGCCAATCAAAACCGCATATATGCAAAAACGTGAGACTGGTTCGAGGGTCCACCGCTCAGGTGGCGCGTCGACGCCAAAATAAAACTTGAGCCATGAAAATTGGCTCATTGGCAATCTCCCTACTCATCTTACTTATAATTTCTTTTCTGAATATTAAAAAATAAAAGAAATTAGGATTCAGATAAAGAACGAATCTCCAGTCGATTTAAAATACTGATAAAATAAATCGTATCAGCTTAGGATATAAGATAAATTATGGAAAAAGGAGAAAATCTGAATAATAGTATAATTTAGCTGAAGACCAAAACATATTTTCGAGGTAGAATTTTTATAGTGGAAAGTTCTATTAGTGGAGAATTTAAATCAGGAAGAGAAAATGAGAGTGAGCGGGAGGACCAAATGAGGAACAGAAGAGAAATCATTTAGCAAAGTAATTAGGAAGTAAAAGGAGATTTTAGTGACTTGTTTCTTTTACTTATTTTCTTTTCTTTAGAGAAACAATAGTAATATTACCTGGCTACAGTATACGCACTTAACACAGATTAATCTACGGTTGAAACAGAGCAAAGACATTCGACAATTTATTCGACACAGAGTACTGAGTTATTGCTTGCATTTTGGTAAAAAAAACGTAAAGTACAATTATCATGTGAGACTAAAAGTCAAGTACACGTAACAAATGTATTCAAGGCACTTTTCTATATATTCTTGATATCATGTTTGAAGATTTCAAATTTTACAATGCAATTGTCCTTACGCGATCTATCGTTGACCTTAAATTCTAATGAAAACTGGAATTCCTTTTTAATTCAAATTAAACTTGAATCACAGATTTGTTCACAAGTATACGTTTAATCAGTAACGCGTGATCAGTTTGTATTAACAATTTGAAATTTGCGATAATTAAAATATTTGACGTGTGTTCTAGAGCAAATAATACTTTGTAGTATTTTTTTTTTAATTTATCTTTGAATTAAGTAGCGTCAATAAAGTTTACCCTGTTTTATCATACATTCGAGAATGCTCCAAATACAAGGACAATATAGGCGATTAAGTCAAAAAAGGTAATCATTTGCAAAAAATGAGAAAAAATTATACAGCGAGTTTCTATATATACATATATACTAATTAATCCTTCGAGACACTTTGAAGGGGCCGGCTCTAGGTTAAGATCCTTAAAACGAATCATCAGTCTTTGAGTAATTTTGATTGTCGTCATCCCCAGACTTACATGCACGTATAAGTCTTGGGATAAGACCATTTTCCGTTAACGGTAGTTTCAAAAACGATAAGACAATCCTCGTCGATCCTAAAGATCTGAGGATCGAGGAAGATTTAACCACTTGAAAACATATAGTTATTCTACGTTGAGGATCCAACAGAGCCAATGATCTCAGAAATATAAAAACTTCAGAATCAAAAGTTATCAAAGGCACTATACATATATATCCTCAACAAAATAAATATCAATTCTTCACGCATCTTATCAAAATCTAATAAATTTAAACGATCCTATAAAGATCACCAGAATGACGCCTCTGGAGTGCACGGCCGTGACCTCTATAGGACATTTCAAAGAATGGATTACTCAAGTCATTGAGTCTCTTCTCCAGCCTGAGATGATTCAAAAATCTATCTTTCTTCGAACGACTGAAGTATCCCCTGCCTACGGTTAAACGAAAAGCTACTTGTTCCGCTGGTGTTATTGTAAATGCCTCGTCGGACTGTCGCTCGTCGCAATTATCCTCAGGATAGAATTCGTGGAGTCTGAAATCTCCATCAGAATCCGAATCTGCAAAGTACAATAAAACAAAATGAGTGCCAAATTGTATTATCAAAATAATTTTCAGCTAAAAAACAATTACCAAGATCAGAGCTCGAGTCCGAAGAGCATCCGGAAGAGGAAGTAATGTCCCAAGCATGAATCCTTTGCCTCCTAGGAGGACTGAAAGTCGTCGCAAAACCATTTCCATGCAAACTGACGCAATTCTCAGCTCTATTCGCTATCAAAGCCGTATCAAAACTCGAAGGGCGTCGTCTGTGCTTCGTCTGAACGGCGCGTCTGTTGCGATTTTCCTGATGAGCTGAATTATTGTTCTCAGGTTTGGATAACGAGCTGGTCTTCGTCATGACAGGTCTAGACGATGACAACGGTGCGCTCAAGGATGCTGGTGACAGGTCAGAGTTCTTCTTGCCTTCGACGCAGCTGGAAATTGAAAAAAAAAATTTTTTTTTAAATCGTCACAGTGAAAAATCGAAACATGAAATTGCGTTAATAATTCCATACACTGCTTCGACTTGTTGAATAGTGTTAATGGAATGACGTTAATTAATCTCTGACGCAATACATGGAGGAAGGCATGGAGCTACTTGCGTACCAGTCTCTAGACGGATTTGTCAATAATATATACATATGTACAGATATATGCACGATATGAATACAACAAAGCGACTATGCTAATTAGCCATAAGATAATATCGCTAATTAATGATTTCGTTGGCCTTACACGTAGCCCAGTATAGGAGACAGGCGCTAAAATAACTAACCCACTTGGGTCTACCCAACAAATAGTACCAGTAGTAACGCTTGCCAGGGGTCTTTCTACCGTGTTAATTACATAACGCCAAGTCCCCTGGAATCCTACCCGAAATACACGTTAAAGCCTGATACTCACAGACCGTAGACAATGCTTAAAAAATAATTGCATGCTCGATTAACGTCATTGCACGGTCAATTAATCCTTGCACTTCCGTCCTTTTCCCATAACATCCTGTTGTTTTTTCATTAAATACTTGAAAAACGTTTCCTTGATCATTCCCCCAAAAAAAAAACTTTTTTTTTTTTTTTATTATCAACAATTACCATCCAGTGCTTTGTACGGATCTAATGAAAAATTAAATAATTTAAGAGACAATTGTAACGGACTCTATTAATATATCCTTCATGGTAAATATTACAAAGACATGACAATGACGAGAGGTAAGAAAAGAAAAATAAAATAAAAAGTATATCTAATATTTCCATGCATTCATAGGTTCTTAGCCTTTCAAAGATCCACAGGACCTAACGAGGTCTGATAGGCCAAGAGGGGGTTCGAAAAGACTGATAACTGCCAGGCTTAATTGCCAACGTGAATTAAATCATGCCAGCCAACAGTCAAGTGGTACGTTTGACCTGTCAATTCCAACCTCTGATACAGTAACTGGACAGGGTCACTCTTGAGAATGTGTCTGACACTTCAGACCCTCGTTACAGTCAAGTACCAATCACAGAAATAGTTGTCGGTAAAGATTGATATCCTGGAGTCAGTCGATAATTACATATACATATATATATATATATATATATATTTTAATGATATAAAACATATATATATATATATATATATATAACTTTTAAAACGTAACCATATTTTAAACCTTGTTACGCCCATTGATCCTACGACCTCGTAACGTTACTACGTCCACCGCACTGAGGTCTGGACCTTGCAGTGGCCTCAGACATGTCCAAAACAGTCATCTTAGTGCTCTGTCGAGTTATCCATACGGATAGGGAATACCGCTGAGTTCTTATCGATCTGAATGAGTCTATTTCAGGAAGATGCTGGGCACCATTCCGGACCATCTCCCCGATGCCCTCAATCTTCATAATAAATCAGCATCGCGACGTTCTGATAACACCCATCTTTTTTGTATTACTCTAAATTCTCATATTCATTTTACACGTGCGAACAATCGCATATCAAGCATAGATATTAAATTGAGATAAATTCTCTAGAGGATCCTTGCGTAATATTTTCATACCACTCTTACACGTGTTATCTAAATGATACAGCAGGGTCTGACTACGAGGATACCTTTGGAACAAGCATATACATATATACACAATGTATATTGTTATACCTTTTGATTTACCTGAAAGTACCACTCTTTTAATTCGCGCTTTTGATATCTCTCGCTCAATTGTCGCGCTCATACATTGAGCTTTATGTAATACCAAAAAATTCCACCATCTGTCTCATTACGAATTTACGCAACTTATCAAGACCCTATTAATTGCCATTGTCAATCAGCCACTGAGCAATTAAAAAAATTAAATAATCACGCACGAGTACCCGTCTCGTGCTGCATATATGTATACGCATGTGTATATTTGTTGCTGGGATACTTTGGGGACGATTTCATTTACGAAGTCGCTATTTTTGAGGACAAGTGGCTGTCTTGGGGACCCTCCTCAAAGAACTTTCAGCGTAATGACTGTTTTGAGGACCATGAAGCCTCATGGTTTCTCACCAAATTTTTAAATATTTTTTCAACGTTAAGCATCCAGTATTTGTGATGGGCTTGGAAATGTTTGGTTAGGTTAGGTTAGGTCAGAACTCCAATGCCGTGATGTCCTAAGGTAGTAGTTTTAAAAAAAATATTAACTTGCTACTGTAAACGCTCCTTGATTTTTCGTGTCCCCAAAGTATCTCTTTGAATCATCTCGTTGATAAAAGTGCTGCTACATGATTTTTCATAACGTGACAATGACGAGAGTAAAAATTCCCACTACCATTCCCAGACATTAGGTTATCGAGCAAAAGATAACAATCGGCATACAAGTGCACGCGTACGCGAAATTTTTCAAAAACGAATCTGTATTTCATGAATATGACGTCAGAACGTCATTTATATCGTCGATACGTAATTGTAAGGGCACATACAATACGCGTGACGCAACGCGTCTCTTATCTGACTTGGAATTCACACGACTGCCTGATTTCCAAGTAAGTCGACTTTGCGTACGCGAATGCAAATGAATATCTTATTGTTAGTCACTATAGATTCATATATATGTATTGTAACGTGGCGTTACAGAGCTGGAGGGGATACCACCTAGGAATGACCGAAAAATAAATAAATAGGACTTATCAGGTCGGACAGTGGGTTCAGTAGCACAGTGGTAAGTGCTCGACTTGGCAGTCCGAAGGTATCGGGTTCGAATCCCGATCAGAACTCCTAATTTTTCGGAAATTCCTAGCCCTCTAGTGCTCCCTGGCGGCTCTATGGATCAAAAATTAATTATAGCGGGGACGAGCCGAGCCGGGCACCCCGTTATAAATGGCGCCCAACGTGGGGCCTCCGATCGAGGCCCAGGTACCGACTTGGCGATGAGGTGACCAGCACGGCCTCTCCGGAGTGTGTGGATAGAGTTAGGAGCGGCCGTTGGGTAGGCAGATAGCGTTGAGGTTGAGGCTTCCCTCCGTATCTGGTCCCTCGCCCTACTTGCAACCGCCGCCGCTTGAAGACCACGCCGGAGGGCACCGACTGGAGCATCGCCTGGGCTTACTGCCTACGCGTCGTATCAGAAGGTATATTCTGAAAATACGCGTGGGGAAAAAAAAATTTAATCCGATTACAAATATCAAACTGAAAGCAATGGTTAAATTACCTAACGAGCGTGACAGTGTAAAAATTTAAAGCCTGTTTGGTATATCGTTAGATTATAACGATTCCTGAAAATTGTCCAATATATTTTTCGAAAATGCTTGTTTCTTTTTTTACTCCAAAGCTCAAATTACTCGGGCGACGTGTACAAAGCTATTTGCCCCAAAAGTCTTGGATTTGTTTTGAAACGAGGAAGACGTCGGGGCGCGACTTACGGAATAGAGAAAAATAGAGGGAAGGAGGAAAAGTGAAAAAAGAAAAGATAAACAACGCAACGAGAAACAAAAAGAGAAACGGACAAGAAAGCCATTGGCAAAAGTCCGATTTATTTTATTTCTGATAGAAACAAATTCAGCGCCTATTGTGATTCTCTATTCCCAGTGCACGCGCACTCAAAAGTTCCAATAAATAACACGTGGCCAAGACGCTCGGAGGCGACTATCTTACCTTGTCGCAACTTGTTCCGCCTTCTTGAATAATACATAAATCAATAGTGTGCATGTTTATATATATATATATATAACCGGCCAAGGGACTCTTGTTTTCGTTTCCAACACTAAATACATAGTTTCTTAGTGCACGAGCACTCGATATTCTCTCACACTGCTTCTCCTTACACCTATGATTCCTCGCGACTGCTACATTACGACGTTGCCTGTACGTTCTAAGAATTTTTAAAAAATTATCGTGTACCAATAAAAATATAATGCATTGATTCAAAATGCCAGACAAAAGTTTGAAGAATAAAATTATTGAAAAAAAAAAAATAATAATATTTTTAAGCATTACAAATACATTTGACGTGTTCACAAAAATCAACAATATATAACAAGGTCGATCTTAATGCCCAGTGGCATTGAACATACTGATTACAAATTAGTAGAAAGGCTCTTAATAGAGGCAGAGGGACGTATAAACGTTTATGGTACGTATGATGATTATTATCCCAATACGGAGATAACTGCACAAAATAAATCAATATTTTTTTCTCTTACGTAGCTTATTGCATATATTTACATGAATAATGAATGACGCATCGATTAATCGCGTGCAGAAGTATTTCCCTTTACCCTGGTATGCATTACGCTAACGATCCGAGCAAAACTTTTGGTTTGGATTATATCGGCATTTGTAATCCGAATCCGAGGTCCTTTCCCCATCACGATATTAATAGTGTAACAAGGACTTTGCGCAGTAGCTCGATGTTTATTTATATAGGCGAACGTATGATCGAATGTGTAATTATATGTGTGCATGACGTGAGAGGTTAGGTTAAGGTTGACGGCTTACGAATTCTATTGAAACAAAAATCAATAATTGCATTTATAATCGAGCAGTGGCTTACGTCTTATATCATTACGATAACTATCAGACACATGTATAATGGCAGTTACTATTTTACTGCAGTGTCAACAATATTATATTTATTAATTGTACTTATTATTGTCTTTCTTCATATGTTCGTATCCTAACGTATGCTGATAACTGAAGTGCTTACCTACGTTTATTATGACAGTGTTGATGACAGTTTAATCGAATTCAAAATAAGTGACGTCATTGTCATCGAGATATCGATTCAGCGTTAGATTCAGGAACCTTTAATATAAATATTTGTCAATCGTATACAAGGAACCGATAATAATAAGAAAAGGTATTAAGAACAAGATAAGCTTAATCTCTCGAAGGAATTACGAGAATTTCAAGAATAATAAAAATTCCGAATATTTCGAGGATAAAGTTATTACAGTTTCCTCACACGCACTGAATTCCGTTGAAATTTGTTATCCGCAAAAATGGCGTCATTTTTATCAGGAAATTGATTTTTTTTCTCGTCTAACGTTAACCCTTTTAGTGCCGGAGGCCGATATATCGGGGCCCGCACCTTGTAGCCGCTTTACCATTCGCGTTGCGAGAGATCTCCATCTCAAAATAAATTTATAATACGTTACAAATAGTCTAATTTCATTAGGAGAGAATTAAAATAAATAATTTTTTGATTTAATTTCCCCTTATATTCTATGCCAGTTGACGCTGAGACTGCTTATTTATCCGCGAGAGCGTTACGGTAGAAATTCGACACGGGCGGCCGGCGCGGCGTCGTGGGAAACTTATCGGAATTTTATTTTTTTATGTTTCTTGTGCAATACTACGTATTTTGTTAAAAAATATATTAGAAATTTAAAGTATATACTTTACAATAAACGGTCTATATAAAGTTATGATAAAAAGATGACTTTTTTCAGTGTGCAATTACGTTTTGAAACAGAGAACTCAATTTTTCTCTATTTTTTTTGATCACTTATACTTTTGTTATTTATGTAATTTTCAATGAATATAGAAAAATTAGCGCCACTGTTTTATTCTCTATTTTGTCCTTAATACGCTGCTTTTTGAATTATGTAAATGTTGCTTTTCGTTTGGTTTTTATGAGCCTTTTCCAAAATCCTAGTAAAATCGTAAAATTCGGCCGGTTATCTTCGCATAAGCACATGTTTTTCGCCCGGCACTAAGAGGCTGCTTTTTGAATTATGTAAATGTTGCTTTTCGTTTGGTTTTTATGAGCCTTTTCCAAAATCCTAGTAAAATCGTAAAATTCGGCCGGTTATCTTCGCATAAGCACATGTTTTTCGCCCGGCACTAAGAGGGTTAAACAAGTCGATAGAGTCCGATTTGAGTGGAAGACACGATCAATTTAAATATTTCGTCAATTTTATAATCGACTACGTACAAACAAATGTGAGTCGATATTTTAAATCGATTATCGATGATTATGGCTAGCGACCTTGACCTTGATTGGAGAAAGCCACGATAAAAGGAGCCAATGAGGTAAAGCAAGAAGCCAAGTCCAGTCAAGAGGAAATACTTGCGAGTCGTATGAACTTGAGAAGCTCCAGGTCTTTTTTTTCCGGAACGAATTTTAAGGTCGCTAAAAATACTGAGCACGACGTTACGTTACACAATACTTTAGTAACCAAGAGAGAAGTCTCCTTTGTATACGACGACGTCGTGGTCGGCTGAGCTACGAACGTCGCACGGTGTGGATTCACCGGACGATTGTCAACAGACTATGCTGTAGGTATTGTACAGGAGCGAAATTTAAATTTAGCGGGCTATTTCGGGTGGGCTCTAGCTATGTGATTTGGTTGGAGAAAACAAAATTTTGAGAATTTGGATAGTTGCAAAAAAAGGAAGCACGTTACAAAAAATATTTAGCATTTTGATTATGAGTACATATAATACATTCTACAGTGTTTATTATTTGATTCGATCTGCGTCATGAGGTTTGATCAATGAGATTTGATCGATAAACGTTGATATAACGACAGAAAAACAGAGAAAAAATGGCCGATAGTCTTAAGGGAGCGTCAAGCGTTCGAAAACGTCTGGAATGTTTGTTATCTCCAAAAATACGTAAAACACGTGACTCCTGTTTCCAAGGGACGAAGAAATACCTTAAGGAGGTAAACGGACGAAAACTGGGGTGAAGCTATTGCTGGGAAGAACATCGTGATAATAATAGAATCGAAATTAGGGTTGTTACACAATCTCAACACGCGGGAGGTAATCCCCCGCGACAAATACTTTAACTAAATATTCTCTCCCGCGTCGCGAGATAATAAAAGAATTATAATACGTACTGTACCATTCCATATACCATATATAAAACACAGTATAGTATAATATTATCAATAATATTGTCCATTTCCGTCTTATCAATTCAGTGAACTATTTTAAGCATTCAATTCCACTAACAATTCTATTTCTATCCAGCCAGTTTAATTTTATCTGTAATCGCACTCCGATTGAATTACGTCAATTACAATTGTTTTCTAATGTTACCATTGCATAGAAAATAACATTTACATACAATGCAGATGAGCCATAAGTTCCAGACTGCAGTATATATAAGTAAAAGAGAGTAAATACTATAAATATTCCGTTAGGAATTTGACTTAGTAAAAATTTAGGGACCATTGGGAAGACCGTTATTTAAAATTTGAAAATCCTCAACGACGTCTGTTTATTAGTCTACCCGAACTTTTGAATCCCAAGCCATTGTTATGTCTATCAGGTACGCATGGCGACCTTCAAATTTGCCCAGACACGCGATGCACGCCACTCTAGGAATGCCGGATAAAAGTTTACGCAATCAATGCACTCGTCGGCTTTCCCCTAGGAATGTCAGCCGCGTGGAATTTAATAAACGTAAGGGAAGCTAAAATTGGTAATGCAGATTGACACTACTACGTTATATAAGTACTCGGTTAGCCATCAATGGAATTCACGATGTGGATACTCGACTAGTCCTTCAATAAAGGTAAGAGTCACGTACAGAGTACTTAAAAGAATAATCCCTAGATACATTTGAAGCAGCGATTACAGTGAAAAACATTACCTGGGTACTTTCTAAATACTTTAAGAACACCCAATTGTCATAATGGATAAGAGAATTCCTGTCCTCGATGAGAAATTTCAAACAGTTTCAGAGACCTTGGACGCTCAGTCTAATCAAAAGGTAAGCAAGCTAACGAGACACAAGGAACAATTATTAAATGGTTAATATTATGTAATTATAACCTTCAACCTAACCTTACATTTTATATGATTAATGGAGCACGAACCTGTATTGCGGATCGAGAAGTCTTTGACAGTTCCAGGCGAATTGAATCGCCAAGGAGGCGAAAGTCGAGGAGACGATACCCATTGGCTCGTTTAGTATCGAGGAAAACGCCGATGTCGCCGTCGCAGATTCCGTGATACCTGGCGCAGCCAGATCCTTCCTTCGAGAAGAATCGTGCTTGCTAACTTTCACCTTTCTCTCTGTTTAATATTAAGTCACTTTAACGCTCGATATTCACGATAATCACGTTTTACTTCTCCCTCGCATATAGCGTCTACCGCAGACGTTAGAGAAGATGGCCGATATCTTCTTACGATAAGAGGAAGGGAAAAGGAAGAGAACGTTGATAAGTAACATGGATGAGTGAAGCTAAAGGGAAATACTCAACCACTGAGATGATAAAAGGTTAAACCAAGAACGAACGTTCACTGACGCGTGCTGCGCGTAGGAGTGTCTTTTTCGAATGATGGCTGCCTTGTATTTATAGCTGCTGCCACGTTATCCCCACCACGGTGTACAATCACCACGTGCCGAGCTACAGAAGTGACACACGCATTGTCTGAGGCGCATGAAAAATTTTCTGCAATACTTCACCCCGTTACATTCCAATGTTTATTATGAACCAACAATTTGCACAGCTGTTACGTCGAGTCAAATACTGGAGTGCAGATCAGGTTCTGGAATCCTTTGACAATTTGGCAATCTATAAGAAATTATTTGTCGTTAAAATCACTTCAAATTTATTTGCACTGTCAGCATACACTGACTACTAATTAGTATAGCTAATGACAATTAATATGTCAATGTTAAAATGGTGCATGTAGAATTCATAGAAATTTATCTGATGCATCCTATCATGACTCATATTTAATTACGTCACTAGGAGAGATATAGTGAATTTTTAGACAGCGTTAATTAGTCGATTCTTATTTAAGTTTTTCAGGATTTGGATTGTACTGTATCGATGATTTGTTTAATTTTTAAGAGAAATCTAATTGAGCGTGACTTTTATGAGATGATTATGACTTTGACGCGTTCGAAAAGATTGCTGCTTGATAATGCCGGTGCAAGTGTACTCGTGAATTAGCTGTAACCTTGTGAGATGCGTAATTATTTATATAAAATGATTCACACTGACAACTGAACAATCCAGTCATTGAGTTATCGATTAACAAGTATCTAAGAAACAATTTGGCCTTCGTTGAGAAATATTTTCTCGAGATAATAAAGTATCTTGACATTATTATTACTTTTTTAATTAATTATTCCAAAACTTCTTCAATATTGTTATACTTTGTTTAAATTATCGTCAGCCATGTTTATTGTATCTTCGATTTCTGAGTATATGTATCAATGTGAGCCGGTAATCATGAAAAATCTATTATCTTGTATTATGAATTACATTTGATAAGATATAATTAATGAAGTTGTTAATCATGACTGTGTATCATACCAATTAGTAATCAATACTCAGTACTAACTTTGAGTACTGACTACTTGTCTGTTGAGCTTAATCGTCAAGGCAGAATATTTATATTAATTACATATAAACCATAAGGGGGGAATTTAATTAACAGTCATATGTAACATATTTAGCGTTGACACTTAAATGTGAAAATTAGTGTGACAGATCAGTTGTTTAATTTGATTAAAAATTTATCCAACTTTAGATAAAAAAAAATATAAATTTTCCAACATTAGGTTATACTAACAGCCAATACAAATTATTGTATTCATTTCCCTAGAAACATCGTTACGACACTATTGTCTGTTTCTATCGCCAGCTGACTTCTTTGCCAGGCATCAAGGTATTTTGTTTAAACGAATGGAATATTTATATAATCTTAGAATCTCATGACCAAGATCAATTCGTAGTTAAAAGAGCGTGCTTGAAGTTTCCATTCGACCCGTATGATCCTTAGCAATGAGAACATAATGGGACTTTGAAAAACAAGTCTATTTCTATTTTCATTTGACTCCTTGGATTCTTTCAGTGCCTGTCTATTTATTTGTTATGTGACTACTTTGTGTCAAGTGCTATTATACTACTTGAATACCAATAAGTACGTTCATTGTTAACAATTTCAACAGCGTCGTCAATTGTGAAAATTTAAATATATGAGGATTCAAATACGTATATTCACGATTGACAGTAACACTTGAACCTTATCATGTTTCTATTGAATGATTATACAATAACAGATTCTTATCACGTAACAATAATCGTAAAATAATTAGATTGTCCATCGTCATCACGTGTTCATCATTGATAACGATATTCGTTGTCTCACTGTCTTTATATTTTGTAAAATCATTAAAAGCTTCGTCGCACCATGCAAAGTAGTCATAATGGAAACAAAATAAAAAATATATTAGCTCATAAAATAATATCACCTGCATATCCGAGGATTTAACATTGTCAAGCGGTGACTCACGTGTAGCGAGTCTCGCATCTACATCGAGGATCGAACATGGATGAATGTCAACTCCAGGACAGATCATGATTCTAACACGCAAACGTTAGACACGTAACCAGCAAATACTCGAAATTGTTCTAGCAGCCTGAGAAAACTTTTGGAAATTCACAAGAAAACAACGACCTCGATTGTGTCTGAATATTATGCAACGCGACAAGCTGGAGCAAGATCTGTCAACAAGGAACGAAATTCTGTGAGGTTATAAAGCAAAAAGAAGAACTGACGCACAAAAAGAAGAACAGATACTTCCTAGTTTCTCACGAAGGTCACTGTTGATTTTATACTCAAACTCTTTTCTTTTTGTATTAAATGTTCTTCCCGCCAATCAATGATGGTAATTCATACGTAACGATTCGCCAATTTCACGAAGTACTGCCTCGCCGGTTCTCGAGGTTCAATGTACGCTGGTGGTGTTATGTAAGATAACTTTTAGATAAAAACAGTTAAAATAACTCACAGCAATGTAACCGAGATCTAAATATGTATATGAACTGGACTTACGTCAATGTCCTGTAGAGACCAGGTTTCCGATCAGTTTAATTCGCTGTTTAAGACCCTACTGACGTCACCGGTTAATCCAATTTTTATTTATAACCCACTGCCAAGAAAGCACTCGCACTGTTGCGATTAAATACGCATAGACAGCCACGAATTAATTTATTTTATTACACGCCATTCACTCACACCGTACCGCACCATTGCTATTCAAAAAGTACAGCGTCTTCACGCGAGATCTCATTCGATTAATTGAATCGACGAATAAACTCGCAAAAACAACTTTCACGTTTTACACGAAATTTTTCAGGCCAAATATGAAAAAAACTAAACTCGTAATTACTCGCCCTTGATCCTTTCGAGAAATAACCTTCGAATGAAAATTCGTCTCGTCATCGCGTCTCATTAATTCGTTCATCCGTACCGAGTTCGACCGTTTGTATGCAAGATGGCGTTGTTACGATTGCGCCGGTTGCAATTCAAATTACAGACTGCGAGTTAAAAAGTAATAGTGAAACGATAAGTTACGTTTATATCTTTGTTATTATCTTGCATAGTGATATCAATCAGTTTTTTTAACCATATCGATCGAATCGGTAAGTACTTCACGCATTGTACAAATACAAAGTAAATATAACATTAATTATACTCATTGATACGAGTCCAGTGTCCGAATTTTCCAAAAGCATATTTTTATATGCATTGATAACCTATCGAACTCTTGTACTTTTATCAGAATGCAACCTACATTCTATTTAAGTGATACATCCGTATATAATTAGATCAGATTAGTCAACCATACTCGAAAGAAATGCATAATACAGACTAATTTCCCTGGTAGAACTGAATCATTGATTTTATAATTATTAAGTCCGATTTCACTTCTTTAAAAGACTACGAAGTTTACTCAACCCTTAACTACGCAGGTCTGACCTTAAAAACATACTTTACAAGACGAGGTTTGCGAGACCTCAATCTGTGGAACTGGATTGTGAGGCCATTAAAACGAATAGAATAGCTCAAATGTAGTTTTACATCGCTCTCCTCTTAATTTAAACAAATTCAATGACCAAGTATCAAGTAATAATTATCTAGTAGGTTTTTTTTTAATTCGTTGAACATTTACGTAGAGACATATTCGGCTGGGGGGCTAAATATAAAATTGGTGAGGTCTTTGAGACTGCACGTGTGTAGTTAAAAATGGTTAAATGGTTGAACAGAAGAAAATATTTATTTTAAGCAGTTATATAATTGTGCAACGTTCATTCAAAAGTTATTGTATGGCATGATAATTACAATTTTTTTTATCTATCGGTATACAAATTGAACGTGTATCTTAATCTTGATAAAAGACAAGCATAGCCTACAGAAAATTCCGACACAATCGATAAGGATTATGAAATTTGTGTTATCGCGTGAATTCAAGAATCTAAACATCAATCGTGTATACTTGTATTGATATTTTGTATATTTTGTATATCGTATTTCATACGATTTCTGCCACACCTAGAAAACTCTTAACTTCTTAGTGCAGATGTACTCGGAGTCAACATACTTACATATATACATATATTCTGACCAGGGACTCTCAACCGGCTACTTGGCAAGCAAAGCATGGCGTTGCGTTACGAAATTATCGAAGACGCCTGTACCTATTACTTATCTGTACATCTTTGTATGTACGTTGACCCAGATCGATTGGCTATATGTATATGTAGACAAGATTTTGGTTACACAATTTGAAAAAGAGGAAACGATGAATTACTTGTAAAAACAAAATGTTAATTTCCGATCAATGAAACCTAATTGAGTGTAAATATCGAATTGAATTTTATTCGTTAAAAATTCATAACGGTTCCATAAGGAATTATATTCATATTCATGGATATGATTCGATTTGAAAAATTTTTAATAATCTTATTTCAACCGTATAACAACATTGTTTAATTTTTAAAGACGGTTTTTGTGGGAGGATTGAGCATTTTAAGTACTATACGGTTTTTTTGCGTGCATCTTTTTTTACTGTGTTGGCCTATGGCATAGGATTAAATGATGTTTTTGCTTGGGCGAGAATCATGTTGCCAAAATAGATTGGTTGAATTCACGACATGCCATTCGGCATTGCCAAAGAACGTATGTTCAGAAACTTGGCCGAGTTCGCCGTTTCGAGGGCTGCGAATCTGTGCCAAAACAAATAATACACTGTTTTATTATAATCTTTTACTAAAAAATGTATATGTGAGGAATATTTTCTGTCGCTTTTCTATTCTGCTGATATTTGTGAATCTGTTGAATTTCACAGTTATGGTTACTACCGGCATAGCAGATATTGACAGATGTCAAATGAATAGAATTGTATGGTTGCAGGCAGTTTGTTACGTTAGTGGTGGTCAATATCAGGGTATGAAGATTAATGATTTAATTCATTTGGCCGATTATGCGAAAATGACAAAGTTAAACGTGCACAGAATTAGAGCTACGGATAATAAAGATATGGGTGATATTTTGAGAGACGAAGAGCAATGCCAAGGTATCAAGATAATGTATTTCTTGAAATTTGCAACAATTTTAGACAAATTTATTATATATAATATATTCTAAAACCATCTTCATACTTTTTTCTATTATTTTTTTGTGATTGACTACTTACTGCTAGCCATATAGTCTTGCAACGACTGAGCATAATTCATCAGAGTTAACGAAGTAGATATGATTACTCCCAGGTGGCGGCACTGTCAATGACATGACGTCAGTATTTGTCATCGACAGTATTTGTTAGCTGAAGGTAAATAGATTAGGCATCTCAAATCATATTACCGACGCTCACAAACGACTGCGGACAGTTCTAAATAATTTCTTCAACTTACAGATGGTAGCATAGCAACAGGTATGGTCACCAAACTTTCTTATTCATTTATTTGTAGCCATCGACTAAAGCCCTTCACACACAAGATAACGTAACGACGTAAGATTTAAGCGTAAGGAAACCAACCAATCAGAAGCTAATACTGCCCCATTCACTAGATTCTGATTGGTTGGTTTTCTTACGCTTACGTCTTACGTTGTTACGTTATTTTGTGTGCGACAGGCTTAATTACGCATTGATTAAGCTCTTATTGAGCATAATTAATAAAAAATAAAAGTTTCTGCACCTAGCTTCAATGTGAAATTTTATTAGCTTTTTTCGAAAAAGTGATTGACGGTCACATTTTTTAATTAGCTAATTACCACCAAAAGGTCATCAATTTACTAAAACGAGCAAAAATTTTATAAATCAACTTATTGATAACTTCAGATAGGTATCCGATATCAATATGTCAACGTGGATTGTGGATAAATATAGGATACATTTATATTTATATTCAGTCAACGGTGGTATACGATTTCCATGATAAAATCTATGTTGTAACAATATAAACGATGGAACAGTTTAAGAGATAGCAGCATATTTGTATCCGAATGAAGTTCGATAGGAATAGATTGAAGACACGACGTGTTATCAGAAATTCGACAATACAAATATTCTGAGAAAATCCAAAAAAAATTCCCCAAATAGAATAATGTATTAAAAAAAATCTAAATTACCCACTGAAACAAAGAGTTTGCAAATACAACACAAGAATTACAAGATACTGGAAAATACAGTTTAATTCATAATCGTGTAGATACAATAAGATTCCCTGCTTTATATAAAATTAAAAAGCAAGGAATAACAAGATACTTGTACTCTAAAGAAAAAAAATGAATTCGCTATTAATTGAAACCTTACAAATAACATTTACGTTTTCTAAAATACTATTTGATTAATTACCTAACCTCACCTCAACGAGCATATCTCTTATAGCCTCAAAAAACAATGGCCGCGGTTCTTCAATGGCGTTTTCGTTTGACACAATTTTTCTTCACCGTGTCTAATATAACACCGTGTCGATACAAGTCTATCTTCACGTGTATACATGATAACTGTAGAAAAAATCTGTTAATCGAAAACGCTGGAAAATTCGTGAGAACAAATCAACACAAAAAGAAATAAGTATGTGAAAGCGCGTGTCGTACGATTTTCACAGCCTTTATCAACGCCACCAACGCCACATGCGGCCGTATCTCGTACTATCCTTACGCACACCAGAAAATTCACTAAGATCAAGCGGCAATCGACAAACAATACGTTGCATTTACGTTATTGCGCCATATTATAGCATACGCCAATATTAACACGTACGAATAGAAAATCGTAATAGTCCGTGCACGACATTGTACATACATTTTGTTTGTATTTTAATATACTTTATACCGTATATCAAATATGAAATCGGAATAGATCAGGCCCTGATTTCCAACGCGGGAAATCATTCCAGTTGTAGCCTACGTCTAATGATCTAATTTTTGGTCCCAAATCATTCTGCTAGCAGTACAACCCGTTTCCTTGATTCTCAATTACGTACTTCCGTACGTACTGTGCAGCTTTTTCGTTCAACCCAAGACTATCTAATTCACGTTCGAATTGTTCACTGGTGCCAGCACCAGCAAGGTAGCCATTTAATTTGGCAGCTAAGGAAGAACTTCTCAAAATCTCCTTATCCGTCAGTCCAAGAGTCTCGATGAGCCACGGATGCGACTGAAGTCTGTACTTTTGATGATAACTGTAATAATAAAAATAAAAATAAACAATTACCATATAACCTCACGCTTACTATCTTTTAATTAAATTTATAAAATTCCAACATTCCCCACTGACTCTGATGATTGCATGGCCTGTATATGACGTCAATTAAATAATCACATTTGTCATTCTTATTATATCACACTGCAGTTAGGAAGTGAATAAATCACTGAACGGGAACGATAATGAAAATGATAGAAACGTCCTGTCGCTCTTACGTTTCCAGATAACCGTCCATGCATCCTCTGCTCGATTGATTGTTTATCTTATATAAAAAGTAACATTGTTGTTCTTCAGCGATCATTTTAATTAAAATAATTAACAACGGACGTTGTAATAAAAATAATTCACTGTCTACTGATAAGGTACCACAATAACATTCACAGATAATATTTTGGCGCGATGCTCACGTCTGTTTGACAGATTTGACAAATTTTTAATGCAATACTGTATTTTTTTTTATATATAACGGAAAATCAAAATTTCAAATGACTCATAAATCTCGGACACAAAATTCAAGTAAGCTGCACGTGTGTTTAAGAGTTTTTGATTAATGAGGTTATGAGGACACGTTATTGACCTTATTTAATAAAGTGCATCCGTGCTCTTGGTCGCTTCGTTTTAACGAGCCTCAATTTGTTCTATTTATTTGTTCTTGCTTTGACGCCGTGACTTCAGTCATTCGAAACGGTAAACTAATAATGAGACTTCTTTTGTCGAACAGTTCTCTCTCCTCTCCTCCTTTCATACTTCCTGCTGCTCCTGCATTATCTATCTCTATTGTCCTCTTTATCATTATTTTCATTCTTCTAGTCACCGTCTGTGCTTCAAGTACCAGTCATATGATTAAGGATACTGTGCGTTTCTGTATCTACGTCGTCGCATTGACCTCGAATCACCATGGAAAATTACTACGTAGATCAAGCGTACGCACGGACATATAAATATAAAATAAAATATAAACAAAAAAGAAGAATTGTATATTAAAAATTTTCAAATTACCTAGAGAACTTGTTTATTTTACATACTATTATTCTACTGCTTGATTATGAAACTGTTATCAGTAATTTTTAATATATTCTTTTTAACGATCAAACGACTAGTCTGGTAAGCTATTTTGAAATTGTAGAATCTCGAAGGCAAGCAGCTATTAATACATGGCGAAGCACGTGCTACGACACTTGTATCGTTGTCGATGGAAATAAACGAGATCAGAGTCTGATCTCGTGACGTATCAAGAGTGTCCACGTGAATTTATTGAATCAACGTTCAGAACACGAGCAATTAGAAAACCATGCATTATCGATGATTCACGTAAGCGTTAAGATTGTCATTGTTAGAAAAATTGAAAGAAAGTCGTGATAACGTGGACTTGTTATATAAACGACTGGACGTAGATACAGCGAAAAAGCATGAAAGGTCAAACAAAGACCAAGAGCAACGATGGCGTGAAAAGAGCGAAATGATGTCAAAAGACATTTTCTTTTACTGACTCTTCGGCTGGATAGAATTTCTTGAACGGCTGTATTTCCGTGACGAAGGTTTCACCACGTTCCCGTTGTTCATGATCGCGTGACTTCTCTGCCACGGCGCGTTGCTCCTCATCGTGGTAAAGAATCAAGGACATATACTGAAACATAAAATGAATGATAATTTTTGAAACTGTCTAAAATCATGAAAAGCCTAAAGTAACTAAGATAGACAATAAAAAGTATAAAATTCCTATCAATAATATCATTGATAAGCAGTGCTCGTTGGATATGATCAATCTCCTCAATTTGTCTGATACATATTAATGTGTGAAATGAAATACTGAAACTGACCGTGACAACCAGTAAAACAGTACCTTCTATGTTCCAGGTAATGACCAGCAATGACAAAATAATGGTACAACAAGCGATTAAAATTACTAGACACTAAATCAAGCGTCTATTTGCCTCTGGGAGGGATACGTAACATATTTAGATATTAAACAAAGTTTACGTCAAGCAGATACAATTTGGCCCAACGTATCTTATCAATGTAGCAAAAGTGTCTAGACGCAGAATGAACGAATGTCGGTATAGAACAACAGAAGAATCTTGATTATACCTCAAAAGTAAAATTCCATCCAAATAATCCATCGAGCGTTTAATTAATCAATGAATTCAAGAATAATAAAAATTGAGGTAAGCTCGCTCGCATGAAAGTTCAAAGTTTTCGACTTCAAATAATTTCTTGAAAAATTCCAACTCGACTAGCACATTGGCGGTATTCTCTTTTCCAGTAACCTTGACGAACGTGTCCAATGCTGAATTTCAATATCTGGCAAGATTTCGCAACGTTGTGACATAATCGGCTGGGAAAAATAAGGAAAAAGAAATTAGGCAGAATAAGTACACGCGGGAACAGCAGTATACATAGAAGTATTTCTATAAAGAGTAGGAGAAGAAGGAAGGATGCGTCTAAGACTCAATCTAAGATGGAGTAGGTCTACTAAACTAGCAGAATGACACGTGATGAAAGAAGAGAGAAAATGGTTCAGTCACCTGTCGCTTTATCCTTGTGGTGAGGCCGTATTCATGATTATTCCAAAAGAGGCCGAGCAGCTGCGAGTAGGAGATGACTTCAGGGTCATATTCAATGTCGATGACCTCAGTATGGTCCCCCCTGTTAAAGAAATAGAGAATCTTCAGTTCCAAGCTCAATAGACAAGTCATGGCATAACACGAGCAAAGCGTCAAGTCTCTTAAGCCTAATACACAACGTGCACTATATACAAAAATACAAGTATGCACATATAAATACATGTTTTTATACGTTGGAGAATCCTTGGTACCGCCAGAGTATCCAACGCAGGTCCTCAAGACACCTGTCGTGGAGCCAAACAAGGAATCGCCAGCCCAAAAGCAGCCCATGCCAAAAGTCGCACGCTTTCCCTTGGACTCCTCCAGTTGACCAGGCATGTTCTTGAGAAAGACAAAAAGTAAAAGATTACTAAGTAAAACAAGAATAATAATGTCAGTCAGCATGGTAAATGTCTGACGAACATGAAATTCTGAGACCGCGCTTATCGAATAGCGGCCATCTTTGTTTCTACCCACAATCCCGTCACCGTATGAATCAACGATAAGAAGAAAAAGTCATACGTCTTCGTTTTACCTCTTTCAAGTAATCTGTCGTGCAAGAAGGCAATGAGAACGGCGAGAGTAGCGCGACGTCAGGTCTCTGCGATCGATGGCACAGAAAGTGAAGCGACTGTCGCGTGGCGAGTAGCCGCACTTTTTAAATATATCAAGGCGCATCCCCACTCGGCCGACATAATTGAACTATCCACGAGCAGTCCGTCCCGCCGAACTGAGAATTCAGAAGTAGCTATAGCCCGGTAGACGTTCTTATCCAAAGTAAATATCACCGTGAAGATAGTGAGTGCAGATATTAATGAACGAAAAATATTTTCAATATTATTATCATTCGAAAAGTAGGATTAAAATTAATCAGTCAATAAAACATATCAATTTCAATTTCAAAAATACAATCGTATAAATTCACTTCGAACGATTACCCATGATGCAAAGCGTGACCAATGCTATAACATGACTAACGACTTCGAATATCCCATAAGGAAATTATCGACTGACGTGAAACGATCAATGACGATTTTTTCCAATAAAAAATATATCAAAATTAATAATTTTTTATTTACTTACCAATCGATTTCCCTTTTTTCTACAGTCCCGGTAACCCTTCTGATTCTCATGAAATTTTCCTCCAACGCTGTATCTCGATACTGGTAAAACTTTTTTGAAAATTCCCAGTTTCCCGCCAACAAATCTCGCTACAGATTGCGCCATCGCCTTGTCACTCTATCGAGAGATTTAATAAATACAACTGAACCGCTATTGCCTCAGAATGTGTAATTGGTCCCAGCGTTTAAATGACATCTCGATTTTCGATGTGACTGACGTAATTTTCCTTGGTCTACGACTCAGCATCCAAACGTAATAATACAATAACACAGAGTGAGGTTTTATCTCAGTCCACACTTTTTATCCGTACATCCTTCGCGTCTGACTGTCACGTTTTTTGAACCGATAACACTATCAAATGTCATCGAATGATGATGCATCAATATCTCTCTCTCTTTCTCTCTCTCTCTCTCTCCCTCTCCCTCTCTCTTACTCACACAATAGTACCACATACAAAAATAACTCAACAAGAGAGAACATCGGGCGATTGCTCAATCTCATTGTCATTGACCAACGGATTCCATGTCGTAAATTAACCAAGAGGGCCGATAGAAAATAAATTTGGAAAAAAGTTGACCCACTGGAAAAAAAATGAGTAAGCACAATTTTTCCTGATATTTATATCCACCAATTTAATAAATTATGTTAATCGACAAATTTCATTTTAATAAAAGTCTTTTTTTATTTTTAGCTACGTTCCTCCAACACTTATTCAGTTTCATTGTCGTCAATCGAATCAAAGCGAAGCGCGAGTTTGCACAGTAAAGGTTCTTGCACAACTGTCAAATGAACGTGTCAGCTGGATAAAGCTGCGCGCGAAAAAAGATTGTTGGATCAATGAAGAAGAAACGCTGCTGCTGCTTCTTAGTCACGAACGTCACTGGGTCAATGGCAAACTGTATATAGTATCAGCATACAGTAGCTGTATGTACTATAGCCTAGTTTTCCATATAAATAACGTGAAGACGCCAAGCGAATAAATCGTTACTCAATATAAAACCGACTGCGCTATACGTGAATCAATATAAAGTCTATTAAAATTGTCAAAAGTAAAGTTCATCTTTTTCTTTTACAGACCATATATATCCAGCGAAGAATTTATATTATTGATTTTGAAAAAGAATGCTAATTTTTGAAACACGATTAACCGGTTGTCCGGAATAAATCATATACATATGCTTGTAGAGCACGTGATAGACCACGATTTGATTATTATTTTGATTAGACGTAGACAGCTGCGAATTAAGAAGACACGTGCGACAGAAGTCCCTGTGAAGCAGCTTAGACATTTTTATTCTTTCAGTTGGCAGTGACTCGATCCTCAGTTTGGCAAACTGTCAAAAATGTATTTCACTTAGGACTTACGTGTCGCGATAGTTGTAATTTCGTTGTAATAAAAAAAAAAACCACACACTTTCAGTTCTAATCGAGATGCACCATACAGCGCGTTATTAATAATTGTGGTTAAACAAATTTTTGAAAATTAAAAGATAAGGATACACGTTTTTGAGACATGGGACGAGTCCTTTGGGTGATATTTGTTTTATAATATATTATGGAGTATGGATATATATATATGTGTATATATATTACATAATTATTTCATTTATAATAATTATTACTTAGTGTAGTCAGACTGTGTGAGTACACAGGTACGACGCAGCCTATTGAAAAAAAAAGAAAAAAAAAAAGAAAAAATGGAAATCAAAGGAGCTCAACGCGCAAAATCGCAAGCAGACGAACTCTTGTTTAAAGAAGAAATAGAAAAAAAGCTATCACGTTTATATTTAAGAAACAAGAATTCGTTTTTTTTTTCCCAAAAAACATCGATACGTATCACTCGTCGAAATATATCGATGTAATTCACATTTCACGTGGTGGAAACATCCCTTGTTTTCATTGAACGTCGAGGGGATGACTTTTTTTTTTACATTTCTCTTACAATTATTTTTTTTTGCAAAAAAAGCTTGCAAGACGCATCCACAACGAGATGCGAGGACTGTATTGTCAACAGGTAATACATATAGTAGTGCGTTGCGAATTTATGAAAATCCCCCAAAAAAATTCCACATCGCTGTCTCAAAAGTCACGTGAGACTTCCGGTGAGCGTTCGAGAGCCTTTTTATTGTCGATCATTAAATTCCTGACTCAAAATTACGTGCACATGTGAATCGGACTTAAACGTAAATAAGAAGGATTTTAAAGTAATTTTCGCAAATTTGATTTGACGAATTATCACGAATCTGAATATAGCCACGTCCCCGCATCTCTGATTAATTTTTCAATTAATTGATAGATGGTTTGATCGACACGCACTCATACGTATACTAGAATTCAAACGTACCACTCACAGGTACGCGCGCACACACTGTCGATCGTCAAAGGACGATGAAATTTTTTCTTAAAAAATAGAATATTGCGAAAATTATTAATTTTTCTTTCTCTCTTATCAACAGAGCCCCGTTACCCTAATTGCTTCGAATATAATTTGGCGATAATAATTAATCGATTAAAATGACACTTTATTATTCAAACGATTGAGAACGTTCGTGCTCCGAGTCCGTCGTCTCGTTACTAACACGGAAGAGAACTTTTCGAAAGTTTTTTTTTCAAAATTCCATCACGGTATCACGTTTCTCGCGGATTCTAATTTTTCAATACCACTTTCGAAGAGTCATCTCGCCTAAGTATGAACTATCGTTTATAAGGCCCCCTCTAATACAAAATATGCAAGAGCAATAAATATTTTTCGAAATTTAAATTTCCAAAAAAAAATATAGCAATTTCCAAGACAAATTTCTACAGCGCCAATCCACGAGCTCTACGTGTACACACGCGAATATTTATATAGATAACGATTAAAAAATTGCATAAATGATATAAAAGAAATAAACATTTTTCGTATAGCATGCACTCGACATTTTTTACATCAAAAAGTAAAAAAAAAAGTTCGAAAAATTATCATCGACAACTCGCTAATTATCTATTCGACATTATTGTATGTAATCAGTAATAATTCTATATCTGTCAAGTATTACTGAATACGCAATGACGTCAACGACGTCCCGGAGCAGCAACGAATATGTACGTTCTCGGAAAACTTTATAAATTTGGATATTTTCCTCATTAATTCTTTCCCCCCTAAGTCGAATGAACAATGCGCAGTCTCTCGCGTTAAAACTTTGAAATCTCTAATAGAAATATAATCGAATATCTCTTTTTGCGCGCAGTGCGACAATACTGCCTGTAACGCTATTAATTCTATATATATATATATATATATATTTCATACATATCAATATTTTTTACTTAAAAAAAAATACATTGCGCACGAAACGGCTAAGTCTATTGCGGAATGACTAAAAAAATAACGATCCGTCGCGTTAACGGTAGATCATTTAATTAACGCACTCGTTACAATTAAAATTCTATGATAACGGCAATTAACGCATCTGATTCGGACGCTGCTCGTTAACTATGACCAGACGTCTATAAATTTTCATCAATAAACATGATAAAATCAAACGACTCGTAGTTCCCTGGCAATCTTGTCTTGTTCTCTATTACGTCCGTTAGAACGCATGCAATAGAATTAACATGGGGGGAAAAAAAGGCGCGATTTTTTGAATTTTTCACTGGGCGCACACGTAACGCACCGCCATCATTGCGATTACAATGATTGCAACTGATTGACAATGATTAAACTTAACTCTAAGAGAAATATTATTAACAGTGCAATTTGTGATGTTCGCGTAGTAAATACCGAGTTTTATAGAAATAAATGAGGAATGATTTATATATACAAATATAAAGAGTCCCAAGAATAAATTGGGACGAAGAATTCACATTAATGATATCTATGTACGTTAAGTGAAATGAAAAACAAAATTTTGAAAAATCATTAAAATCTCAATGAACAGCTTTGATTTTTTCTATTTGCATACGTCCATTAACGATCATGCGTTTCGAATGTGCGATTATGTATGGCAAAGAACAATAGGGTACTAATCGTGTACAATTTTCGAAATAAAAAAAATCTATTGAACTAACGTACACGTAATTGAGGGCATTCGTGAATTTTTCGATTCCAAGCCCAAAATTTTATAAAGCTACTAAGCGAATGGTAAAAGGCGTCCGGAACGTATCCAAGTACGATAACACACGAGAAACAGACAAAAAGTATGATAAAAACGAGGGCGGGAAAGTCGAAGAATTTGAATAATTTAAATTGAGATTCCATTTCGTATTAGGAAAAAAAAAAAAAAAAAAAAAAAAAAAAAAAAAAAAAAAAAA